CTGACCCATATCGTGAATTGTTTAGTACATTTCAGTGTTCATTAGTTGGGTCATACCTAAATGACTATCCAGTTGTTTATTGACAACTTGTATCAAATTGTACAGATTAGTTTTTGAAATTGGATTAAAGTAAAGACAAGCATGGTGCTAAAGCTATAAAACCATAATTCTAATTAGATTTGAACGAGGTCTGGAAATTATGTCATCAATTTTACTACCATTGTTTTACAAACGGTTCATTGAAATGGAATCATGCTCTGGAGATTTATAAAATATTTGCTGTTCAGGAATTATGTAATTTACATACAACCAAATACGTTGCATTGCACTAAAGAATAATTTGTTTCTCATTAGTTGATAAGATTATGATAACACAGATGTTGCCTGCCATAGTTTGACGAAATGTTTGTTTTATCTTTTCATTAGTTTTATTATATTATATTGCTCTTTGAATAAAATTTAAGAACATTATTTTTCACATAACAAGAATTTTAACAAAAGGATGAACAAGAAATTCTCTGCCTTTCGCTTAAGCATTATAAGATATGTTTAAACACTTTATGCGTGAGCTATAACAAAGATTAATTCTAATACAAATTTTATTTAAAGAAGGAAAAGGGAAATCGACATTTGCTATCAATTCCATTATTAGTAATACTTCATTTCCCTGCATTTGCAGTATGTGATGGTTTGCATTGCTGTTCAAAATGTGTCACTTATAAATGAATTAAAACGGACCAAAGATTGTTAATTTTACATTTACATGTACATAATAATGATTATTTAAATATTTTGTATTTTATAAAAAAAATTTACCTCACTAAATAAACTTGAGTTTTCTTCGTGTGATAACTTTTCTTTTCATCAGAGGGGAATACTTGTACTTAATGGGTGAAATAAGCGCATAGAAGTGAAACGTTGGTGTCTGTGAACAAATGGATTGCACTTAAATGAAGGGAATACTCAGTTCTCTTCGGTATAGCAAAATCACAATAATGTTTAGGGCTTGTATGGGTTTAAAGTTTTCTTATAATTCGCTTTGAACACATTTAAAGAAGATGAGTCATATATATCATTATAAAAACTATTCTATGTCGAAATTGCTTATGGTATAAATGATCTAGAAAACATTTCTGTTCGTCTTGCTATTGTTACGTAATAAGCATTATTTCTGAAATCATATTGGCTACTTTCTGATGCCATATTTGATATAAAAAAAACAACAATTTGTCAAGAATACTTGGAACCTCCCCATTTTATGCTTTATACATAACTATTAATTTGCATTAAACGGAAAAATCTTACAAAACCGTAGCAAACCTAGCAACTTCGTACTGCATTTTATTTCCTTTTTTCATATAAGGTACAGCTGTCTCAATGTGTAATTTTTGTCAATTATTTTTCTAACATTGATGTATCAACGTCAATGATTATTGTTATTAATATCTTAGCAATAAATTATAATGTCACGTGTCAGTTATTGTGTTCTATTATTTGATTCGTCATGATCATTTCATTCATTTTTTATTAACTTGAATTATAAACTTTACATATCTATAACTTTTCTAAGTACATTTGTACATTGTATATTGTATATGAGTGTATGATATGCAATGGCATGAAAGTTTAATAGTGACTACAATATGACGATCAATAATTGATTAATGTCCTAATATCAAGTTCTTCTGGAATTATTATAACCTACTAAATTCATAAATGACATAGAAACACGCTATCTATGAATACAGATGAGTGGTATCTGTAAATGTCACAGCGTTATAGTAGTTCTGATTGTTCCGTTCTAAATTGTCACGTTAAAATAACCGATTGAATGTGTTCCTGTACTGGATATTGCTCAATTTCCATGTAGTATTTTCTGTGATTGTCTTAATTAGTATTTGTTATTCCATTCATCAATGTATCTTCGCCCGAAATAAAAATTTAAGAAAAATAAAACGATTAAAGTTTCAAGTAATAATTTACATGTTATATGCTATCAATGACTGATTGTGCATTATTTATCGGCATATTTCTACTGCGTTATAAAGAAGAAAACGCTATTTTTGCATATGTTGATATCATTTCGGTAATTAACGTGGTTTGTAAGCACCTGTTGCAATAAGTAAATTACTTTCTTTGCTAACTTAACAATATTTTAATTTTAAAGCTACATGAAATAAATTTCATAAAAATAGCTACATTTCGTTAATTAAATGTGTATCATATCGACTCCCGTTCTTAATTTGGTGTTCAGACAACCAAACTGAGTTTTATATAAGTCATAAATCTACAACTTCATTGGTGCGACATCGTATTTGTATGAGAAACTCTGCCTTTGGGTCATCCGTACATCAATAGAAATCCAACAAACATTTAAGTAGCAGTCCGAATCTAACGGTATTTTTCCGCATTATATAACGGATGTTTTCATACAAATTCAATCTTTTTATGAGATAGTTACTTTTTTTGTAAAAGACAGGCCTAATGCACCGTGAAACTAAAACGGTAAAAGTTTGTTTGCACAAGAATATCTCCTATTTGCTGTGATACACATGGGTATTGTCCAAAAATATTTACCTGGCACTTCATTAACTTTCGTAAAGGCCATTTGAATAAACACTGTCCATTATCTATCGAATAAATTGATATATTTTCTAACTTGACTCGTCACTGAAGTGTTGTGTATTGGTTTATATTTTGGACTACCGATTTGGAGGTTTCTGGTTCAATTCCTTTCCAATGCCAGGTTTTGATTGTTTTTAATTTACATGCAAGAATTAATTTTAAATTAGTTTTAGAATACCCTTTAAGTGTTGTTTTATACACAATTATAGTTTTATTACAGTATCTTTCAACGGTTCTCTTTGTGACATTATGCAATCGTATATGCTTAAACGCATGCACGCTGTAAAATACTACAACAAAAAGGTTTGCAATAATTTTAAGAGAATGGCAATTTTAAAATTAAAACAAAATAGAAAAAAAATAAATCGCTGAAAAAGAATTGGTACCTAAAAGTTTACGTCTTCATTTTTCAATTGAAACCTTTTAACGAACTGCACTAAGAGGAATTTTTAACACCCTTTTAACAATTGATATTTACATTCTTATCGATTAACAAGTAGATCGTTACGTTTACGGAATAAACCGACTTCAAGGTCAAATGCAAAAGTGTCAGGTCAATGTTGTTGGACAATACAATTGATTTTACCATTGTGACGTTGCGCATACACGAGCTAATTATGCATGTCTTCATTCGTATACGAACTTTAGTGTTTCCGTCGGGTTTTCCTTTTAAAATCATAACTGATGAACAATATTTAATGAGATTTACAACAATAATGTTAAAAACGTTAACGAAACTATAGGATGCTTGGTTTGTAAGCCGACGGAAAAATATGTTTACATATTTTATCTAATGTAGTAAATACATTTTCAACATTTCCATGAAATAAGCATGAATCTGAAGACATATTGCTATTATTTATGGAGAAAGAATGACTTTATAAGTAAATTAGGTAATAAAAAAGAAGCGTGGGGGATATGTAGTGTCAATGTATACACGAAAGGCCTGGCAATATGTTTTACTGTAAGTGGGCTGGTAGCATAGTTTTTGTATTAGATATCATAATTCCTTACACTGTGAATTCACTCTTCCAAAATTAAAGCTAGGCAGATCCATCGGAAAGCGTAAATAATAAATACAGAAGTAATGCATACATAAATTAATACAATGTACCATGTTTTGTTTACCGGGTGTCATCTTGTTTAACCTAACGTTCTTGTTGTGATATAAATATATCAAGCATTTTGACTCTCGTAGTTCAAGGTACATTCGGCTTTACAAATGAATACAAGTATACATGTTAATCATGCATTATATTCTGTTCTTATAGTGGTATTAGAGGAATTAAAATGATTATCAGCAGAAAAAAGTAGCGCTTTATGTGAAATAATTTGGCATAAAAATAGCAAAATCTACAAAAAGTAGTTTGAGAAATAAAGATAATGTCATTTGTTTATGTTTAAATGGACCTTTAATTTAAGAAGAATGAATTCTAATTCTTAGATAATAAACAATTCAAAGATTAATAATCTGTCGGTCTAAAGTATCAACAACATTCGCCCCAACGAACTAAATTGCAGATTAAAGTAGCATAAACTGTCGATACATTGTTAGTGTAGAAGTATTGTCTGCTACAGAGTCATTTTATACCTCTTATCATAAACAACGAATTAAAGTACATGTCATTATATATTTAATACATTATTGTCTCTGTTTTTTAATAGAAAATAATAAAATAAACCTCTTCACTTCCTACCTAAATACATGTTTGACAAAACTAATATCTTTTCCCCTTGCGATATTTGTATTAAATAATTTGAGTTGATTGTGCAGAAAGTCTGTGATTTCAAGTCTAAATAAGTCAATTAAGTGGTTGAAATTATTTTATGTCCAAATAAGATCGTTCCATTTTTCAAATAATGTAGTACATCGGTAATGAATTATAATTATATAAATAACACATGGTTTTGTGGGTACACAGTAAAAATATCGTCCCGTGGAAAATACTGTTACTCGAGGTGCTAACAGTACAAATTTTTTAGTCGCATGGTGCAATTGCTTTAACAGTATAAATGACTCACGGTGGCCTATGAGAAAATTAACATTGTACAATAATAAAAACAAAATATTTCCAGAAGCATTTTGTGGATAATTATCATTCTGTCGAAACTTTAGAAATATCTGACACAAGAAAATGTTGTCATTAAAATTTAGAGTTTAACAATGAAATGATAATAGTGGTGGTGGTGGTGGTGGTGATGATGATGATTCTTACTAATATTTTTAGCTCCTAATAGAAAGATGCATCAGAAAAATCCCGCCTTACTCACGACACAAAGTAAAAATGCTCTGGAACGCACTAATTGGATCACTGGCGGATTTGGCCTAACAGTTATGAAAGAAGACATGCACTCAATCGAAACATTGTCTTGAGATGTATGTGATGATTATGATGTATGTGGTGATTATGGTGTATGTGCTGATTATGGTGTATGTGGTGATAATGATGCATGTGGTGATTATGATGTATGTGGTGATTATGATGTATGTGGTGATTATGATGTATGTGATTATGATGTATGTGGTGATTATGATGTATGTGGTGATAATGATGTATGTGGTGATTATGGTGTATGTGGTGATTATGGTGTATGTGGTGATTATGATGTATGTGGTGATTATGACGTTTGTGGTGATTATGGTGTATGTTGATTATGATGTATGTGGTGATTATGATGTATGTGGTGACTATGGTGTATGTGGTGATTATGATGTATGTGGTGACTATGGTGTATGTGGTGATTATGTAGTATGTGGTGTTTTTGATATATGTGGTGATTATGATTATGTGGTGATTATGGTGTATGTAGTGATTATTGTTGATGTGGTGATTATGTAGTATGTGGTGTTTATGATGTATGTTGTGATTATGTAGTATGTGGTGTTTATGATATATGTGGTGATTATGGTATATGTGGTGATTGTGGTGTATGTGGTGATTATGATGTATGTGATGATTATGATGTATGTTGTGAATATGATGTATGTGGTGATTATGGTGTATGTGGTGATTATTGTGTATGTGGTGATTATGTAGTATGTGGTGTTTATGATATATGTGGTGATTCTGATGTATGTGGTGATTATGATGTATGTGGTGATTATGATGTATGTGGTGATTATTGTGTATGTGGTGATTATGTAGTATGTGGTGTTTATGATATATGTGGTAATTATGTAGTATGTGGTGTTTATGATATATGTGGTGATTCTGATGTTTTTTGTGATTATGATGTATGTGGTGATTATGATGTATGTGATGATTATGATGTATGTGATGATTATGGTGTATGTGATGATTATGATGTATGTGATGATTATGATGTTTGTGGTTATTATGATGTATGTGGTGATTATGATGTATGTGGTGATTATGTAGTATGTGGTGTTTATGATATATGTGGTGATTATGATATAGTATCATCTACAAAAGCAGTTAGACCAGGCAGACCCTAAAAAGTTTCGTCAACTTTCTGCATAAATATGTCGCTTGAAGCTGATATTCCATACGGTAGTCTTAACCATCTATATCTACCAATTACAGTGCTTACAGCCGTCAGAAGGGAGGAGTTTTGTCTACTCCATTAGGCATGTGTAATGTCTAGGATGCTGAAATATTTAGCATCAGTCAGTTTTGATGTCACGTCCTCAATTGTTCTAATAGGATAATGAGGACGTCTGATTACATCATTCAATGCCTTAGGATCAAGACAAATCCTTAGCATTCCCGTTTTATGTTCCTCTACTATAACCCAGTCTGTAGGTTCTTATACCTTTCATATAATCTCTTCTTTCGCCATACGCTAGAGTTCATCCTGCAGTCTATGTCTCAATGCTTCGGGAACCCGTCTATGTGCATTAAAGCTACATTAAAAAAATATGTATAATTATTTTGCCGTCGGCCTAAAAACCAAGTATTCTACAGTTTCATTAATCTTTTTAACAATAATGTTGTAAATCTATAAAATAATTTTCGATTAACTAAATTTTAGGAATTTTAAAACAAGGAAAACTTTTCCAACGGTTATACCCCAACTATAATTTTTTTTACGTAATCAAAAAAAAAGTAATCATCTCATAAAAAAGATTAAATTTATATGAAAACATCCGTTAGAATGCGGAAAATTACCGTTAAATTATGACTGCTACTTACAGTAATGTTTGTTGATTTGATATTGATGTACAGATGATACGAAGGCGGAGTTTCTCATGCAAACTTAAATTGTACTTCCAAGTTCGCCACAATGAGGTTGCACCATTTTTATGCTTATAAAACTCATTTTGGTTATCTCGACACAAAAGTAAGATCTGTAGTCGATATGAAACCAAATTGGTTAATGAAATGTCGCTATTTCTGTTTTTATGAAATTTATTAAATGTAGCTTTAATTACAGGAGTTGCATTTGCTTTGATATGTAATTTGCTTCCACCTAGGATGACCCTTTCTCCTCTGAATAGATTATAGTACTCTGACATAAAATAGAGAAAATAAGAATCCCTAAAAAAGGCCCAACACGTCAAAATTGAAAATGTTGCAGGCTCGGTTTGATTGAGCCTGTCAAGTGCAATCTACCGTCCACACCCCCTAGCACCGGCTTAAGACGAATTCAACATTTAAACATGAAATGGTAAAATTTTAAATTTAGAAACATCCGCAGATGTGTTCATACGGCGGTTATCATGGAACCTTAAATGTGACACAGTAAGCGGCGAATGGTCCCCCAAGTAAAAAAAGCTTTTGCCTTATACGAGAAAACAATGGGCGGAACTAAACAAAATGAAATTTTGAGAGAGGATCAGGGGTTATGAAGCCTGCATATCACAGATAAAACGTCAAAAGACAAAGTTAAAAAGCAGGCAACATATCCTAAGGGTAATTCAACATTTTTCAATTAGGAATGGAACCACTCAACTAGAAAATGCCAAATAGTTAAAACGGAAATTCCACAAACACAACTATAATGTCGTGCTGAACGATCTTTAAGGATCGGAAATATAACATCTTTGATTGAATGTACAGGGCGACTTTTTACAGCCTCCACACGGCACAAATAACGCTGATGTGGCGATAAAATAGAGAAAATAAGACTCCCTAAAAAGGCTAAACACGTCAAAATAGCACTTTGTTTATCGGGAGTGGCTGTGTTGTGTTTCCTACTGAATATATGACCTGTATCAATCCTAGTTTTGAAAAGTGAAAGTGACCGTCCACGTCCCCTAGCACCAGCTTAAGCAGAATTCACTATTTAAACATGAAAATGTGAAAATTTGAATTTAAAAATATTCGCAGATCTATGCATTCATGGGTTTACTTGGAACCTTCAATGTGACACTTCGACACTTCATTCCATTTAATGAAAAGCGGCAGAACTAGAGAAAAATAAAATTTTCAAATGTTATTTTAGGTAATAAAGCCTGCATATCACGGACAAAACGTCAAAAGACATATTTTTAGAGCAGGCAACATATCCTGAGGTTGATTATACGGTATTCAAGCAGAAATACTCGAATAACCCAAGATGAAAAAGGCCAAATAAATGCAGAAGAAACTAAAATACCACATAATATGTTTAAACAAAAAAAATATGTCGTGCCGAACGATCGTCAAGGATCCTTACAAAAGCGAAACACGACAAAATTGAAAATGTTGCAGGCTCGGTTTGATTAAGTCTGTTCATTGACGGTAATGAATAGTACAAATTGCGCCCCAAGCACCGACTTAAGCAGAATTCAACATTTAAATATGAAAATTTGAAATTTTGAATTTAGAAGCATCCGTAAATGTTTCATTTGGCTGTTTACATGAAATCTTCAATGTGACACTTTCGTGACATCCCATAAAAAGGCGGCGTATTGTCCCCAATAAAAAATTGCGTGTGCCCTAAACGAAAAAACAGTGGGTTGTATAAAAAGATTTAAATGTATTTTTCTCCACAAGTCTACATGTAAATAAAGTTAAGGTGACCTTCAGGGGAGAGTCAATTTAATCCCAGGCTCATGATTTATATAACATTTGGTAAGGACCACAAGGAGATGCTATATGCAAAATATCTAAGGCCAGGGCATTGACTGTCAGAGGATATCTTTAAGATATTTTAAGACAAGTCTATGTAGACTAATGTTTGATCTCAGGGGTATTAATTATATAATTTTTGCAGATTTTATCTAAGCAATGTTACATGCCAAATATTAAAGCTGTTGGTATTGAAGTATCACAAAAGGAGACCTAAATGTATTTTCGCGCTTATCCTTTACAAGTCTAAATAAACAAGATAAATTGTGTCTTTTTTAGCAATGTATCTCCGGTTTGGGATCTAGGGCCGTTTTGACCCTAAAGTATTATAATCTGCTAGTGTCAGCTTATCTGCCTTTGATAATAAATTTGGTAGTGGAGATAAATAAATATATTTTTATCAATTTTTATACATGCATACTATACTTTGGAACACTTGTTGATGATAAGGCAAAACAAAAATGTGTGGTTAATGTAACATGAGTGAAAAAATAGGGAAGGAAAATATGCTTCATTATCATTTATTATAGGCAGATTCCTTTTCTCATTATACCAATAATTATACAATAGAGGGAATAAGAATCCCCAAAAAAAGCCCAACACAGCAAAATTGAAAATGTTGCAGGCTCGGTTTGATTGAGCCTGTTCATGGACGGTACTGTCAAGCGCAAAACTACTGTCCACGCCCCCTAGTACCTAACAAGGTACGGCAGACAGCGACTGAATATATAGCTAACCATAGAGCACCATGTGCTCATGTTTAGTCAAATATGATAAACAAGATCGACAAGGAAAGGCGGGCATTCAATGAACGCAGCCCCCACCCGACCCAGCAACAAGCGCCAGCGGCAGGGAGCCCAGGAGGACCCCAAAGAAAAAACAGGACAGGGCACAAGGCAGAACAAAGTACACCAACATGGAAGTTAAATTACTGTAGTCTTTATTATTGTTAAGCATTGTCTTCCTATTTTATTGAAGAAAATAAGAATAAATTTTTTGTTAAATTTACACATTAAATACGGCATCGCGAGAATATATGACAATTAAAAATGTGTCTCTCTTCTGCTGAAACATTTAAAATTTCTGTTGTTGTTGATTGAATTTTTATTTTAACATTTTAAAACTATTTTTAGATTGTTTTTCATCAGCAATTTCATCAGGCATCGAAAAACAAAAAAATATTTTACCGCAAAATTTACCGGTGTCACATCACTATTCAGCCACATATAGAGTCTACTGTTTATTTTTTGCAATGCGTTCGAGAGAAAAATCAAACCTTTTGTTTAAGATTCAGAAAAATGGCCGAAAAAATCTATTGACGGCAGATTCTTTTCCCGCATTTTACCAACCCGCTTTGGACACTTTTCTGAAACGGAAATGGAGTGTCTGTATTCAAAACTTTAGTAAAAGAAGCTTGTATGACCACAGGATTTTGCGGAAAATTCTCCAAATAACAAATTAAAAAAAACAACAAAAAAACGCTTAAGTAAAATGAAACCTCTTATCTCAGAGGTTAACACGAGGAATGATGCAACGGCTTCCCTTCGCCCATTACGCATTTTACATAATTTTACGAAAAGAACAATAATTAGTATCTTGCTCATTTAATGAATTATTATTATTCTGGCTGAATGAAGTATAAAAATACACAATCATAGAATCACAATAATATGATGATTCAAATGAAATATTGTAAAGCAATAGATAAAAGGAACTATATAACGGTAGAAAGAAAAAAAATCCAGTTCACATTGAGGCTATTGAAAAGTAAGATTAATATCTTATCCTAATTCTTGATTTGACAGATAAAGTTTTCTCTGTTACCACAGACAGAACTAATTCTCCACTCGAACGCTGAATCAGTTCGAATTACGCACTTGCATGATGGAAATGCTTCTACGCTTGGATGAGCCACTTGCCAATTTGAATACATCGGGGTTTTTAACCCAGACCTAAACACCCATGGTTTGCCTGAAGCTCGCTTAATACCATCTATCCACGCATAAACTGATAAAAAGTCAATGTCACCAAAGACTTCATCAATATCATCTGAAAGCGTCTCGGTATCTATGTTGATTAAGTTGCCGCCGTCAGATTCACAGTGTATCTGCGCATCATACCATGATTTGACAGCCTTGTACAATTTTATACAGAATCCATGTCTTGTATAGTTATACTGTAGTGGGCACCATGGTATGTGGATGATACAAGGTTGAGATTGAACAGTGTGTCCTAACATATCCTGTTTACACACTTTCACATCATATCCGCATTCACGTGTTCGACTTCTTGTACCGCGTCTTCCAACAATGGAGCTGCACCTTGACCAAGTTGTCCATTCGGAGCACGTCTGCATTCTACAAAATATCTTTAAAGCGTTCGTTCTAAAATCATTCTTTACATTCTTTATACTGCTTTCTAAATGTTCATTAAAGTTTAAATCGGTGTCGTCACTGTCAACTTCTCTCAGAAGTACATTACCCTCTTTAACTTCTTCGGCATTTAGTCCTTGGTTATTTAGTACAAATAAAGTGAGGAGAATAAATGTATATTTCAAGCTTAGTCCGAATTTTCCATTACTAAAAATCATGTTGAAATGTACAACTTTATTAGACACCTTGCGTGAAAGAGTGAATGAGAAACAAAAGTTTAATGCTTGACATGTTATATACTAGAGTGAGCTTATACATTTAATGGGGATAAGTGATATAATTTTGTGTGAAAACTAAGATAATGATAGACAATTTGAAAATTACATTTGCTCATTTAAAATGACATTATTTAGATATTGTTTGACATTTTTAGAGATTTTCCCACAACGATTTGCGTTTTAAAGTAGTCACATGGAAGTTCATTTTTACCATTATCTTTGGTTAAATTCAGCTCTTTTTATTGTTGCATAATACTGTATTTTATCCATTTAAATATGTCTGATTAATTTAAAAATGCACAAGGGAAAGACAGTCGCTAGATTTATTTTCTATTCAATATTTCTGTTTTTGTGTAATATATCTATAAAAAATGACAAAACAGAGCCTATGAATACCTTATTTATATATCATTTATCTTTGATCGGTCATTATTTTGGAGTAAAATTTAATTTACGTTATTATCATCGTTATGTATAAAAGTGAACGTCAAGCATATTGCATCTTAGCCATAACACAAGTGACAGGACGTAAAGTGTTTGCAAACTTGGTTCAAGCGGGCAAAATGGCTGAAAAGTTTTCAAAATTGCGACTGAGTAATGGAAATTTATAACGCTTGTATATTATCCAGACAATAGGGTTTTTTTGTTATTTTGAATTTTTAAATATGCCCATTCATTGGGGTAATGCTTATGACACACTCGGTTTAGGTTTCACTTTTTCTATCTTCTGATTTTATGAAGTAACGGTAAATGAAGATATAGCTGATAATGTTTATTATTTGACAAGTTACTTTTGTCTACTCGTATTTGAAAATCTATAGGTTTTAAAATCTGGAAAAAAAGTGATCCCTCGGAAGCATTAATCACAACAAAATTACATAAGAATTGCAGATTCGGTTTGGTTGAGTCTGTACAGGAGGGATAATGAAAAAATGCAACATCCCTCACGCCTCCTAGCACCGGCTTAAGCGGTACTCAATTCTCAACACTTATTAGTGCTGGCATCAATGATCCCGAAGGACCAGAAAAATATAATAAAGTTCATCATACAAGATAAAATATTTTTATGCCATTCTGTACAACTCTTTTGATTCGCATGCCCAAAATAAAGGTTCAATCTACAAACATAATTTTGTTCAAGCGCATTTACAAAAGATTATAGAGTTATATATAAACAAGTCTAAACAGTAGACAAAACTAGAAGACTACGCATTGAAAAAAAGAACTATTGCATCACAGCTTAGTATCAATTAGTTTTCTGAAACATATTTAAAGCTGTTGTTTTTTTTAAAATAAGCAAGCTCATCTATTTCAACAGTATAATTATAAATCCATACCGGACCTTTACGGCCACTGGTTTCGTTTGCTTTCAACATATCAATCCATAACCCAGAGGGTAAGTAAATGTCTCGTGATCTTGCATCTTTTGTTATTATAGGTGCAACCAGGTATTCATCTCCTACCAAAAACTCATCCTCGCATGTCAAAGCTATCTCGTCGTAAGGGTCAATCCACCACAGTGGTCTTATTATCGGCTGTCCAGTGCTTGCGGACATATTAGCATATTTGATTAAAACATCGGAAATATTTGCATGCAGGTTTGCAAATTTTTTAGAAATTGTTAATACATCTATGTCAGAATTGTTGAATCTTTCATCCCATGGAACTATCGAAAATTGCATACTTGGAAGGAATGTATTCAACTGAAGCCAACGTACAAACAACTCCGGGTCTGGAAACCTTCCCTCATAAGCATTGCCACCAATCATGTCAGGGAGAATGAACGGGTAACCGAGTATTCCGAGTGTAAAAACGCTAGGAATAATAGTGGACAGGGCATTGTTGTGTCCCCATGCCGATATTTTATCTATTTGACGTACAAAGATAGGAAATTCTTGAGTTCCGTATGCGCTTCTCACTTCCTGACGCCTAGAAGGGTCTGCTCTAAATGCCATTTGAACGTACTTTTGCGGGTAGTTGCAGTTAGGGTTTTCGGGTAGATTTGATCCACTGTATATTTTAGGTAGCCATGTTTGTTCACCAGCATCGAACTTAAAAGAATCTAAACCGGTTTCTGTTTGAAGGTCATGCAATTTCCCCAGATACCAGTCTGTAGCGTTCGCGTTAGAAACGTCTAAAACACCTGTCATATTTCCATCCCACCATGAAGATAACGCAGGAAAGTCTGATCCAAGTCGTCGCAGAAGATATTTTTTGTCCATTGCTTCCTTGAAATAAGATCCATCTGTATTAAAGAAGGGATGGACCCATGCTGTAACCGCACAGCCATTTCTCTTTATAATTGCTATCATATCCGTCGCATTAGGGAATTTTCTAGAATCGAAGAAGTTATCGCCATAATGAGGCGTCCAGTCATCGTCTATTTCAATTTGAGAGCAATTAAAACCATTATCTAGAATTTCGTTGGTGAATTTAACAACGGTGGACTGGTTAATATCATAGTGATACTGGGCCCATGTTGACCAGATTGGGTACCGAAATAAACTTTCATTGGGAATACCATTTGGTATTTTCATCAGCATCGCAGACATCTTGGTGTGAATGTCTCTAACATTTTCAGCATGACAGAGTTTGTAGCTCAGTTTTGGTAGCATATTGTTGAGATTAAAGTAAGGATATCTCTCATATTTTGCAGTGAAACACATGCTTCCATTTATCGGGTTATTAAGACTAAAATATAATGGTATGTCATCGTGTAAGGAAATTCCAACGCCATTTGCAGAAATAAAATATCGCCCGAGAACGTTGCCTATCCCGCCTTTGAATGCGTCATTGCTGACAAAAGGTGACGCTGGCATAACGTTTTTCTCGAATGGCCAGTATTGGTAAGTATCTTCATAACCTCCGTACCAATGAGTGGTTGAAACATTAAAACAGTCAGTGAGCTCTTGTCTGGAGTCCTTTAAACCTTCCCAGTTAATGGTGTAACAGTCTAAACTCGAATCACTTTCAGAATCTTGTTGTGAAAGGCTTATGTTTAGCATTCTTTCATTTTTCCAACGCAAGCACAAATGCGTTTTTATATCAGTGGTACAGTTAGTTAAAGCCAACATGGATGAATCGGGAAAAATACTCTTCCATGACGTCAATTCTGCGCTTTCGTTTCCAAGATAAAATGACAATTTTTTATCAAGCGATAAATTACCTATCTTTATTGGCCATAATATATCTGACGGCACCACAGTTGTATGAATGCTGCTTATTGGCTGGGGTGTGCTTGTCATTGGTATATTTGGAAGCTGCGACCTCTGCAACATTTGAAGCTTTGATTTGAGGTCACCGTTCTTCTTTGATTCAACAGCGAGACTAATTATAAGGCTAACAACTAGAATCGAAACAACAGTTATGGCAAGTATCCACCGAATTTTCTTTTATTTTTTTGTATATTGACGGAATGAAATCGTTTAGAAATAGTTTTTTGCGTGCGGCATTATCATTAGGAAATTAACGAACATATTTCATCACTTTCGAATAATTTAAACAAAATTTTAAAAACTGCTAACAATAGAGATTATATTGGTTTGTACAACTTTTAAAATTCTATACTCACCTTCAGTATTTATTCCTGTTCATGATAAATCATTAAATTTAACCCAACCATGCATGTGTGTATATGTTACAATTTGAATTGGATCATGTATATACTTCATATTTTCGTGTACTTTTGTACGCATTGTTATCACTCGAAGTATAGGTAATGTTGATCGTTCCCGTCTTATTAATCAAATGTGATAAAGCATTATCTAGCATCATACGATAAGAGATAACTTAAGTAGTGCACGGTTAAGATTAATTTGTATGATGCAAAACAAGATGAAAAGATGAATATATTATATATAAATATACATATATTCATTAGGTTCAAGAACATATTAAATTTACAAAATGCATTAAAACACTGGGTTCCAACGAGGATAAAATAAAATTAATAGTTATATTAATATAATGGGAGGGAATAAGCGTTCATAAATACATTGATTACGTATAAAAAACGTTAAAGTTATTTCATACGTTAGAAAGTACACGGACGTTTATTCTCTCTCGTCGTATGTATAAACTCTTTTTATTGCACATTTCATAAAATAAAATCAATGCATTTTCAGCGTTTGTACCTTATGGTATTCTAACAGAAATCATTATTTGATCCAATCTTATCAGTTCATTGTCAGAAACCAAAAGTTTAATAACAGATCCATTTCGCGCGGGTTATGTCCTGGTTCTGACGTTTCATGAGTAAAAAATATCTTCATGTGTAAACAGATATTATCCAGTTTATACAAAAGATGTATCAAAAATCACAAGAAATTAAAAAAAAAATGTTATACGAAAGACGTCCATCAGTACAATACATGTAATGTCAAAAATTGAAAAAAAAATGTTCTCGCCTGTTTTGCTGCACTTTTCGGAAAATGATAGAGGTTTTGTTATGGCCATCTCGCCAGCGTCGGCGTCAGTTTACGTTTATTCTTGTTAAGGTGCATATTCTCAAAAACAATAAAAGCTATTCACTTCAAACTTGGATTACATATTTATTGTAATGGTCATTGCAACACAAAGGGCATGTTCATCAAAATATATATATATCATACTTTTAACTGATAGTTCTTGTTTTCATTCATGTTTTTTTATTTTTATTTTGTCCTTCAAATTTAATTTTACAGAAATTCAGAAAATGCTGGCAATGTTAGTAATCATAGAATTGTTCGAGATATTTCAAGTTGTTTAATACTAAACATTTTATTGACTTCTTTAGATATTTTTTTGCATTTCATTTAAAATATATGTAATTACAAACAATTGCTTTCACTAAACAAAAGTACGTGTAGTCACATACGAGTGGCTTAACTTTTCAATATAATATTGAGCATATTCTTCTTTTTTTCGTTTTGAATATTTTAATGAAGCTGTTTATTAATAAATGCTTGTTATGCAATCACAACTCATCACCTTAAACTTTCAATTATCTTATCTCTTATCTCACTGTCTGGTACGTACAACAGTGTGAATTGTCTGCGTTTTTGGTGCTTCCATCAAGATGAAGAGGCGATAGACAACAGGGAGGTACGTGTGGAAATTTTTGAATGTAGACACATGCGTTTTTAGTACTAGATGAAAAATTGCATATAACCTTAAAAATAAATTAATTCATAACAAGAATCTATTTTTATGGTGTATACTACTATTCTTCTATTATTTGAATATTTCCATCATATTGTATAATCATTTTGGTAGCTATTATATTTGTGTAAATTTGGGTTGATGTATTCTAATAAAAGAGGAAAATAAAAAAGATTAACTTTAAGGAACAAACAGCCGCACTGTTAAAGTCACGCGATTATGAGAATCTTTATAGAATTCAAATCTTTGAAGAGTTTTATTAAGTTCCCCCTATTGTTTTCTCGTTTAGGGCAAACGCAGATTTTTACTTGGGGACCATACGCCGCTTTTCATGGAATGGCACTTACGTGTCACATTGAGGTTCCATGATAACCGCCATATGAACACATCTGCGGATGTTTCAAAATTCAAAATTGTACCAGTTCATAGTAAATGTTGAATTCTGCTAAAGCCGGTGCTTGGGGGCGTGGACGGTAGTTTGCACTTAACAGTACCGTCCATGAACAGGCTCAATCAAAGCGAGCCTGCAACATTTTTAATTATGCCGTGTTGGGCTTTCTTTAGGGATTCTTATTTTCTCTATTTCAAGGAGTTTTTAGTAAATTGTTAGTAACATCGTAATGTGAATCATAATTATTAAGTATCACAATAAATAATTAACTTTAATATCATATAAAATTCTGGAAACAAAATTATCCCTCGGAAACATTAATCACACCAAAATTACATAAGAATTACAGACTCGGTTTGATTGAGTCTGTACATGATTGAGTCTGTACATGAAAAGCCTACTGATTTTCGATTTTCAAGCGCTTAACATTACGCTTTAAGAGTGAAAGATAACGGATATGATTTTTATCGGATTGTTCAATTTCTTGCCTTTCGTCCGTTTTTTTCCTTCTTATTTAAATATACGTTTACATGACAACCATACTTGATTTGCTTAATTGTATGTACGTTATGTTTCAGTTAAGTCAACCTTTAAGTATTAAAGTGTAATGGTCAGCTTTTCAAATATGTACAATAGAGAAATAAATTCATCTATTTAAAACAAAAGCGGCTATATTTGAGTGCTTATATATAGAAACGATTCTAGACTCCTATGGTATGACAAATACCAATTCAAAAATAAGAAAATATCATTTTGTTGAGTTCATATCCAAAATTCACACTAAAGGCAATTCTTACACAACATTTCACATCCTTGATAGTTGTAGTAAAGTTAGAAAAATATCATTTTAACACTAAATGGTCAGTATAAATCCTTCTTCAATCATTCAAAATATCCAAGATTCAACACAAATTTGAAAACATTTCATTTTTATTACTTCTTGTAAAACTCCACAATGTACATTCATGTATACTGTATGTGTATAAGTTCAACATTTTGTGTAACTGATATATTTTGTATATATCATTGTGTTCATGTACATAATTGGTCATATTTCAAAACACGAAAATTTCATGCTACGGCCATTTTGTTATTCAAGAGGCTACCTATAGGGTAAGAAAAAGATAATTGCTAAAACATTTATATTGTACATTTCTAGCACAAAAAAAATTCTACATTTTCGATAGATAACATGATATTTGATAGTAAAAGTAGTAATTTAAGTGAGATATAAGCCTCAAACTACGCGCCTCATGAAATTCAATATTTTACATATTGGACAGTTTTTGGCTTATATCTACTACTTAAAATATGGTCATCTTTTGTAGACGCATTGGGTAGGGGAGTTCTCCATGATAAGAGTTGTTGCTGCTGTGTTTTCAACTTCCTGTTATTATGTGACAATTTCTAGTTTCATGTGCGGAAGCTATCAATTCACCTCATGAAAGTTCAGTGGTTCTACTTGGGTGTCCTCTCGTATTTGATATAGCTCATAAAGTGAACCCTGGAGTCTCCTTCTACCATTCAATCTAGAAAGTTAAAAATGACTTAAAGTTTAAGTTATACAATTGAGTGTTTACATTAAAACTTTGAACAGATTTATATAATTTAAAGCTATCCTATGACCAACCTCTGCATTGGACAAGAAAAATAAACTTTTCAAGCAATATATGACAACGGGACAGGTTCCGCTGTGGATAGGCAATGTCGGGTGCTATGTTTTGTAAACAACTCGTTGCTTTAATCTAATTGCGCTCATTTAAATTCACTGCCGAAAGGCCGGCAGGGGGATATGGTACTTCGTCCATCCTTCTGGCCAACCATCATTTTGTCCATCCTTTCGTTGGACATATTGTGTCGCCTAATGCAGTGTAACGGCGATTTACCAGTTCTCAGTCCGGCAGACGTGTGTCACAAAACTTGTGACGAGTAATCCTCTATAATCAGTGGTGCAATTTTATTAAATTTTACATGAATGATCGAATAAGGTTTTGGATATTATCGGCATTTTCCAGTTCAAAGATTTGTGTCCGAGTTATTCGAGGGCTCAGCGCAAGACTATTCTAACTTAATATTTTTCAGAAATAAATAATAATAATAATAATTTCCCACTAATTTTTACGTTTTACACATTTTAAGAAAATAAATATATCTGGTGATATAATATATTTTGTGCAAAATTGTTCTAAGTCAAGTAAGAATAGTTCGACAATCATTTTTAAGTTGAAAACTGGATATTCTTTCATGCAAGATTATGCTCACTTTAAGTTAGAATAGTCTAGCAAAATTTAAGATGCTGTTAACAGGAGTTATTGCTAATGGAACTATTCTAACTAAAAATAAACAAAATTTGATGATGTCATCACAAGATTTAATGATGTCATAAATTCCCAGAATATTTATGACACTTTTTCTAAGATCATATTTTACAGAATTTGACAGTTTTAAAATATATTCTGATGGTTTTTTGCGTGTTTTTTCGATGTTTTCAAGATGAAGAAATTTGATTCCTCATTTATTTAGAGCTGTAACAGTCAATTTCAAACACATATGATTAATTTATTTTACTGACTGCAAGACATTTCAAATTCTCTGTAGAAAGTATAAAAAAATCTGTATACAATATAAGAAGAAAATTTCCCTTTTTAGTTTGGAAATTAACCTTGTTTACAGAAATGATGAATATAAAGTTGCTTACATTTAAAGATTTATGGTTTATGGCTGGATGATGAAAGTGCTAAGTGCTCCTGAGTACTGGCTTTCAGTAAATTTCAATAACACAACAGAAGAATTAAAAAGCTTTATGTCAATAAAATCATGCAAAACTCATCTCTGAATTAAATCCAATTCAAAAATCAAACAATTCTTTGTTTGAATGAAGTGTTGCCAGTATGCTTAAATTATTAACCTTTATTTAGGAAGCTTTGAGGTGTATTAAACAGTTCAAAATTTCTTGGGTTATTATGATGTATGTGGTGATAATGTAGTATGTGGTGTTTATGATATATGTGGTGATTATGATATATGTGATGATTATGATGCATGTGATGATTATGATGTATGTGGTGATTATGATGTATGTGGTGATAATGATGTATGTGGTGATTATGATATATGTGGTGATAATGGTGTATGTGGTGATTATGGTGTATGTGGTGAAAATGATGTATGTGGTGATAATGATGTATTTGGTGATAATGATTTATTTGGTGATTATGGTGTATGTGATGATTATGATGTATGTGGTGATTATGATGTGTTTGGTGATAATGATGTATGTAGTGTTTATGATGTATGTGATGATTATGATATATGTGGTGATTCTGATATATGTGATGATTATGATGTATGTGGTGTTTATGATATATGTGGTGATTCTGATGTATGTGGTGATTATGATGTATGTGGTGTTTATGACATATGTGGTGATTTTGATGTATGTGGTGATTATGATGTATGTGGTGTTTATGATATATGTGATGATTATGATGTATGTGGTGATTATGATGTATGTGGTGATTATGATATATGTGATGATTATGATGTATGTGGTGTTTATGATATATGTGGTGATTTTGATGTATGTGGTGATTATGATGTATGTGGTGTTTATGATATATGTGGTGATTATGATGTATGTGGTGATTATGGTGTATGTGGTGTTTATGACATATATGGTGATTCTGATGGATGTGGTGATTATGATGTTTGTGGTGATTATGGTGTATGTGGTTATTATGATGTTTGTGATGATTATGATGTATTTGATTATTCTGATGTATGTGGTGATTATGATGTATGTGGTGTTTATGACATTTGTGGTGATTTTGATGTATGTGGTGATTATGATGTATGTGGTGTTTATGATATATGTGGTGTTTATGATATATGTGGTGATTATGATGTATGTGGTGATTATGATGTATGTGGTGATTATGACATATGTGGTGATTCTGATGTATGTGGTGATTATGATGTATGTGGTGATTATGGTGTATGTGGTGATTAGGATGTATGTGATGATTATGATGTATGTGGTGTTTATGATATATGTGATGATTCTGATGTATGTGATGATTAGGATGTATTTGATGATTATGATGTATGTGATGATTATGATGTATGTGATGATTAGGATGTATTTGATGATTATGATGTATGTGGTGATTATGTTGTATGTGGTGATTATGGTGTATGTGGTGACTATGGTGTATGTGATGATTATGATGTATGTGGTGATTAGGATGTATTTGATGATTATGATGTATGTGGTGATTATGGTGTATGTGGTGACTATGGTGTGTGTGGTGATTATGGTGTATGTGATGATTTTGGTGTATTTTGTGATTATGATGTATGTGGTGATTATGGTGAATGTGGTGACTATGGTGTATGTGGTGATTATGGTGTATGTGGTGACTATGATGTATGTGATGATTATGGTGTATTTGGTGTTTATGATATATGTGGTGATTATGATATATGTGATGATTATGATGTATGTGGTGATTATGGTGTATGTGGTGACTATGGTGTATGTGATGATTATGGTGTATGTGGTGATTATGGTTTATGTGGTGATTATGATGTATGTGGTGATTATGGTGTTTGTTGTGATTATTATACAATTATTAGTGAGCCATTTATTAACCGGCAGATGACATATTGATCGAGGCGAAAGCCGAGGTTAATATGACATTCTTCTTTTATTATATGAATAGGCTAAGTAACACAAAAAGTACAACCTATTATAGATGTACAACCTTTGCCTTGTTGAAGCGCTGGAAAAAAGACGCTCATGTTAGGCGTGCATCGACTACCCGAACGCTGCGCATACAAAAGTAAATTCAAGTTTATACTCATCATTGTGATGTAGCCTTTAAGTATAATAGTAATGTATTGATATTTTAATCAAGAAATATGCCATAAAGAACAAAACACAACAATTATTTTTTTAATTAGCATGCGTAAATAACAGTCTACGGTGTATGGTCATTGATAATGAGTCTCAATCTATTTTTAGACTGGGAAAATCCAATTCAGCTGTGAATATGATACTACTTCAGTGAATATGATTTTATAAAAAGTTCTGTTGACTACTGTTTGGACCAATGAGATTACACCTATATTAAGATTATATAATAAGATGTATTATTATTATCTTAAATCATTATAATAATAATGATAGTAATAATAATAATAATAATCATCATCATATAAATAATAATAATAATAATAATGATGATACATGTAACAAAAATAATAATAAGTAATGATAATAAGTTAATAATAATAATAATAATAATAATAATAATTATGATAATAATAATAATAATAATAATAATAATAATAATAATGATAATAATAATAATAATAATAATAATAATAATAATGATAATAATAATAATAATAATAATAATAATAATAATAAGTAATAATATTAATTTAATAATAATATAATAATAATAATAATAATAATTATAATAATAATAACAATAATAATAATAATAATTATGATACTAATAATAATAATAATATAATAATAATAATAATAATAATAATTTAATAAAAATAGTAATATAATTTCTTAATCTAATTAAAATAGTATGATATATGTGAAAGTATATGTGTAAGTTAAATGATGAAATATAATTCCGAGCTCATTTGTTAAACAAGACTAGGATGATGTTCTAATTCAGTATTTTGATGTTTGAAAATAATACTGAATTAAATATATAATACCTTAAATACTGTAAAAGTTACGAACCTAGGATACTCTGATATTATTTCATAACAAATGTTTCCAATCGCAGGACTTTTGCAGATGATATTTACGCACGTATGTTGCGTTTTTATACCACATCTTTTTACATTGAATTGTTTTTCGAGTAAAAAATGATTATAAAAAAACTTCACAATGGCGCTTTTCTAATATTAAAGAATAAAGTAGTTACACTAGTTTCACATTAACTGTCGATGTTATTATTTTCCTACTAATAGATAAAAATAATTCCACAAACATTACATTATCACGACACTGGAGAATACTAATTCTGGTCACACGGAAGTAGAAGTTGTTATGTTATTTTGAGATACTGAGAGTCACGTTTACCGCGAAAATGATAAACCTATTTTACAGGAAATTACAAAATTGTCCAAAATATTGTAAATGTGAACTACATGTATTGACCATTAACTGTATTGTTATCATGACGTAGATTGTTTCATTATAAGGCACTGGCTTTATATTATGATGACACATTAGACAAACGAACCGTAGATATATCAGATGATAATATCGTGTTGTTACAATTTGTCATGGTTTGGAGTAGTACTAATCTACTTAATTCTAAACGTAATTTGACATTGATGTAAGAGTCCTGGTATTATAATTCTCTTAAACGTTACTATAGTAACAAAAATAAATACAAAGATAACAAGTATAAGAGGGCAGTCTACGACATTGTTTAGTCACACAGCACTGCCAGAAAGTCATTAACCACCGGTCACTCAATAGAAACCTGACAAAATCCTTTAGTTATTGACAATGACAATGACAATTTATTATTAATTAGAAAGAAAAATGTTTGATCCCACGTGTCTCATAAATCTGAATTTTAAATTGTAATGTTATATATATTATCCGTGATAAAATTACTGTATCATAGTCTAATCTTAATTATCATACGTTGTAAAAATATGTAGATTGCGGCTTTATTTGATGAATAAATCAAGTAGGAGAATTTAACGTATTCAAATATTATCTTTTATACCTCTGATGAGCAATTCTGTACACTTATGAATATTTACTCACTACTTTCTAAAATGCCCTTTTAAAATTCCATCTACCAGTCTAACTAAACATAGACGGAATAGCTTTTATAGTGCCATTATACAGTATATACTCTACTGGTTACAATTAAATTAGATACTTTAATGCAAATATTTGCCACATTTTGTATTTATTTGCCCACGTATTAGGCGGACAATAGAAATGGCTTAAGAAATGTGACGGCATGAAATAAATACACGTATTTCTCACTTGTGCGTTTACTTACTTCTTAAAACATACACAAATAGTAACTATATATACATTCAAGATGAATAATCTACAGTACTTACTCGCTTTCTGTTGTTGAGTACACTGTCTGAAAAAATATTGTCTCACTACCTGAAAAAATGATTTACTGAACTTACTAATATGTAGGTCAGTATATTTGATATTATATAACTTATCCTTGTGGTTGAAATTATATTTTATCCGATGATATTGTTTGATTTTTCAAATTCTTTAATAAATTTCATTCATTTATAATCAGTACCAATTTTATTAAGTTATTTCCGCGTATCATACTCGCACTGTTTATAAATATTAAAATATCAATATAGTCTTGAAGTTTGCAAGTATTTGTCAAGTTAGCATCATTATTTCATAAGCCTCTTTATTTCATAAACAACCTATTTTATAAACAACCTATTTCATAAACAACCTATTTCATAAAAACAACCTATTTTATAAAAACAACCTATTTCATAAAAACAACCTATTTCATGAAAACAACCTATTTCATAAAAACATTCTATTTCATAAACCACTCAAATAAATTATGATGATATTGATAAAATAGATTATTAAAACAATTTAGTGTAATCTGCAATAAAAATGAGACAAATGTAACAAACTTAATCTCACTAGGTGGATTCATCGCTCAGTATAGGAAGATTTTATTGCTGACATTTTTGTAGTGAAGTATACAATAAAGTATGGAGGTGCTAATCCCGTGAAATTTAGAAAAGTCATGCACACAAGCGATTTGAATCAAACACCTTTAAACCACTAATAATGTATCAATTCATTATAGCTGCATTCATCTTTAAAATTTAGAAAACGAAATTGTTCAAATGTGCCTTATTTCATATATTAACCGCTGATTTAAGAATTTAAGAAATTTGTTGTTTTTTTTTATTTATACTTATGTATTGAATCATTGAATAGTTATAACATTTATATAATTCTAGGAGAATATATCTTATAAAAAACGTGAAACATTTATATAAACTGAGATTGTAATTTGTTCGATAAAATCAAACTGGATTTACGTTATAAAATTTCCAAAATAAAGAAGTCAGAGCGTGAAATTGACGTGTTTATTGTGACATATCATATATTAAAAGGATTTATTTATTTTTTATTAAGAAATTCATATAATAACAACATTAGCATCAGAACAGAGCATATATTTTATATGCTCCATGATGATATATGACATTTAGTTGAAGGACAATAAAACAATTATTTATTAATGAAACATAATATAATGTTGATCAGCTTCGGTTTTGTTTAAGATAGTTATCAATCTGAACTTCTTAATATTTCAAGACAGTGTTGATTTGTTTAATTGTAAAATAATTTTATTACGGTGATTTACATATAACAATAAATAAAATACATAAAGGAGAAACAAAAAATTATGACCAGTCTGTAACAAATGCGTTCAGTGATGAAAAATTACAGCACGATTTACCCAAAGTGTTGGGGTAATGCTGTACAAGTGTGTATTTATATTGTTGTTTTTACTTTATGCCAACATTCAGTATTGACCTTCAACTTGGAATCAACAGGACCCGATGTGCTCAAAAGTCACGTGATCCCACCACTGTTTAATCAGACTTACCCAGGTATATCATAGTTTGTAGAAAAACATGTAGTATATGGCAATATTTACCTGAGACTGATTAATTTCTGGAGTTATTTCTCGTTTTATTTCAGTATTTTATTACGATTAACGCTTCTGTTCAGCTCTGTTCTGTTCTGTTCTAATACGGACCGGTGGAATAGTGTAATTACGACGGGATTGTAACTGCCTAGGAACAAGTTCGAATTCTGACAAATCTTGTTTAATATTTCTATAGCGTATTATTACTTTATGCAGCACGTGGATAAATAATTTACATAAATCTGGCGCTGTTTTTTTAAATAAATTTCATATTCAATTTCAACAAACTTTGATGATTATATTTTTGTTTATCAATTTCAATATGTAAAGCCGTACAATGAGTGATTCACATACACAAAACATAGAGGTTAAATTTAGAAAAATATAGAAATAAAGTACATGTATATGGACATGTATAAAGTTTTATAATGATTCGGACCTAAAATACGATTAATTTAAACCCATGTACATTCAAACCCGTATAAATTACTTCAGTTTCCGAGGGTAACTGATTATTCAAAGTTTCAATGTCAATATAGTCAAACAAATAACTAATTGCACTGACAAAAGGTGTGTCTATATCTTAAAATTGTAGAAATACACTTTTACACTTTTTATTTTATATTCAATATACTTGTATGTATTTATATATTACTTTCAGCATTAAAATGAACAGTATAGTCACGTAATTATTAAGTTGTAACTTATAGAGAGACATGTGTAATCGTCACACTATCTTTGGAAGCTGAGCTGAAAATCTAGTTGTTAAAGGTGTTTTTTTTTCATTTTTAGGACATACATGACTTGTGCTGTTCTGTCTTTCTTTATTTTTTACTCGTGTAAAACAAACAATGCAATAGGAATATATATA